GGGTCCTTGCTAAACAGATCAGGGAAGATAACAGGCAAAACGCACACAAAACAAAACGTTTTATGAGATGGTTTGGAATGGGAAGTGATTTAAGACGTAAAAAATAAAACGTGAGCATCCTGACCCTCAGAAAAACGTCATAAACGCGGTCGAACCAGATGAGGTTACGGTTGAAAATAACGCCAAGGTATTTGATAGACGGTTGTCGTTCCATCTGGTCACTGAGGATAGATAAAGGCGTGCTGGCATTTAACAANAATTACGTCATTACATTTTTGGGGGGTTATGCGGAGGTTCCTTTGTTGAGACCACTCAACTGTTTCCGACACATCTTCTTGTAGAGTAGCTTAAACTGATGAGTTGGGGTAGGGCAGTCCGAATATTATATCGTTTGCATACTTAACGAGAAGAGTTGCTCACAGGCATAGAGGAAATGTGAACGGAAAATAGAAAAGGGGATGAAATAACCCCTTACAGTGCGCCTGTTGAGGAGGGCAGCATTGAAGATACACGACCTTCGTAGCATGTGAACTGCTGGCGGTTGGAGAAATAGTTGACCAAAAGTTCAATCGTAGAAGGTCGAACTCCGCCCAAAGACACGTTTGTCGATCAGCTGTGTTGAAAGCATCATTGTAGTCAAGAAAACATATGCGAACAGCCTTGCTTTTCTTATCTAGGTTGGATAAAACAAAGCGGAATAGATAAACAAGGGCACCCAGGGTACCGCGGGAATGGGTGTATGCAAACTGGTTCGGGTATATATATATATATATATATATATATATATTGATATATTTATATATGTTACCAATCTTTACACATACGGCGCTATATAACCATGGGTGAATGAAAAAAATATAGGTACAAAATCGGGGAAAATAAAACAGTCAACTTCGGGGGGTAATAATTCTTTTGCTTGTTCACTGCACGTCAATTTGAGTTTTTTTGGTTTTTGTTTATTTTTGGGATTGAAACAGTAGAAGATGCATTCACATCACTGACCTCGGTTCAGTGCCATATCCAGCAGCGTCTCCAGCCAAAAACAATCTGAATGTTTGGGGCCCATCCCCGTATCCGGAAGGCCCCGACTGAAGCCAAAACCGAGTACAATCTCTTCAACCCGTACCGTTGCGCAATACACACGCCCCTTCAGTGAAAGGGATATATCATGCCGGCGCCAGAGGTGCCGCAGATTAGCAAACGCTAATCTAGCTTTGATCGCGCATTGAGAGATCTCACTCACACCACCGGCCTGCTCCTCGTGGATTTGCTTCTCACGGAATGGGCATAACCTGCTTGATAAAACGAACGCTAGCAGCTTCGGTGTTGTTGCAATCAGACTTATGCCCCTGTGGTTGGAACAGGCATTGCGACAGCCCTTCTTGTAGGTGTAGGTGACAATCGACTCTCTGCACGTGTGTGGTACACTTTCAGTTTTCCCAGATCTTCGAGAACAGTCTCACAAAGTCTCTTACGAGAGCTTCTCCGTCATATTTAAAGAGGTTAGGTGGTAGACCATCTGATCCAGCTACCTCGTGGCGTTTCAGGGCTTGGAGTTGCTTCCGGATCTCCGCTTCTGTTGTCGGTCCCGTGGATATTGACCTGGGTGCACTCTCAAGAGAGCTGCATGGGACAGTCA